GATTTTTCTAATGCCCTGTCTTTAAGTTCATATATGCTACCTAACGCTATGTCTGATCTATTAAACTCGTCTAATGAGTTCTTAATTTTAGACGTTGTCACAGTTCTGAAATGACTATTTGGTTCTGTTTTATATATTTTAATTCTCTGTTGGAATTCCCCAATTTTTCATCCATTTTGTCCATCTTTTACACGTTGAAAAAAATGTAATTCCTTGTCTGGTAATTCTAACATCTGGATCATCTGTTAGTTCTTCCTCTTAACTAAAGGACAAATTCCTTCCTCTTTTCATGTCCAGAATATTTTAATTCATGTTGGATATTGTGTATAAAAGAACTGTACAGGCTCAGACGAACAGCCTGCTTCTACCAACAAGGGTTTCCCCTGCATCTGCTAGGCAGACTTGGGCACAGTGAAGGGCTAATACGCTCAGCTCAGGGACTGAGCTGGGTTAGAGCTGGGCTGCAGTAGTCATAACTCATATTTGACTTCTGGCTCTTACTTCCTCCTCAGGAATGTCCCTCCCAGGCTTTCAACTGACAGCCTCGTGTATTTTTCTGGCCTCTGGGCTTCAGAGGTCTTTTAATTGTGCTCTCGGGCCTTCCACCCCCTGGCATGTCCAAACGTGGCGAGTATCTTGAGGAGGAGACAGCCATGTGTTTCAGGCAGGTCCCACTCCTCAAGCAGAGCATCGTCATCTAGCTACTGCGATGCCACAGCTGATGTTAGTGTACTGGATCGGGGCTCCTTAGCCTCACTTCTCTGCTCCGAAAACCCAGCATGTGTGCGCTAGGTAAAGATAAGTGTGCATCCCGGGCTCTTGAAGTTTCCAAGTGGTAGCCAACCCAAGACACCCAAGGTCTTTGTTGGTTCCTCTTTTCCTCTAGAGTTCCTTTATATGGGGCAATGCCAATCCTCGCGTCACACCAAGAGCTGGCAAATAATCCCAGGGAAGAAGTAGACGATAATGGCCGGCTCACCTCAGAAGAACTTGGCTCACCCCAGATTTCTAATTTATTTACACTGCTTCGGTTACATAGCTTGCCTGTGTCTTTAAAATATATTTTCCCCATTTGTCTGCCTTTTATTTTGTTTTGTAGCAGAAATGGTATTCTGCTATGACTTACTACATCCGAGTTAGAAACAAAGGCCTCCAAGTCTGGGGGTGACTTCTTGAGTCTGTTCCCTCCTTATTTGAGAGCATTTAATTTTCTCCTCAGTTACATTTTGAAGGCTGCAAGCATTGTTATCCCTCATTTTTCTTTAGCCTGAGGAATGGTAGAGGCAGAAGATTCAGCTGAGAAGATATGCTGTTTGAAAAAAATCACTGGGTTCTGCACTCTCTTCCAAGAGTCTATTACACATTATATGCACTCTAAGGTGTGCTTTCCCTATCAGGGACTGTTTCTCATTCAGACGGAGGGGATCACTGGGATCATGTCCCTACTTCAGTATGTCACAACTGACGAAGCGTGTAACCTCAGGGTTCATTTTCCACATTTTATCCACATTACTATGTAGTTGCCACTTCTACTATTTCTCTGACAAGAAAGGGAAAAACAAAAACAAAAAAACACACACTTAGTTGGGTCCTGTTTTGGAAATCTTAGTGATAACTCTCAGGATTTTGTCAATTCATGAGTATGGTATTTGGGGACTGGCGTAGATTGTCACTATGTCCTGCTGTGTGTGCTTCTTCACTCTGAAATCGTCTGTGTCTTTCCTTTGCCACCGTTTTTGAAGTTTACTGTATCTAATTATGTTACTCTTTGTTGTTTGCTGTTAGTGAATATTTTTGCTGGTTTCTACTATTCTGTACTCATTTTAAGGAGAGGAAAATTCTATGAGTTGAACTAAGTCCACCATTTTAATTTGAATATACTCAGACTTTTCTAATACCCTAAAGGTTAAACTTACATATCTAATTAAGAATTTCCTGCCTGGCTGGTGTGGCTCAGTGGTTGAGCATCAAATCCTCAGTGGGAGGCATGCAGGAGGCAGCCAATAGATGTTCTCTCTCATTGATATTTCTCTCTCTCTCTCTCTCTCTCCCTCCCTCCCTCCCTCCCTCTCTCCCTCTCTCCCTTCCTCTTTCTCTAAAATCAATAAAAAGAAAAAAAAAGTTTCCTAACATCATGAGCACTAGGCTGCCTGGCAGCTTGCAATGGTACCAGTTACAGTAGTCCATTTTTTTCACACTACCTAAGTCCAAATTTCCAATGTCCCAATTACTCTGTGTTTTAAAGATCGAGTATTTTCTTGATCAGCTCACTTAAGGTATTAATTAAGTCAATTAACACCAATGATTATTCTGACACACATATACTCCTGGGGAATAAGGAAAAGACCAGTATATTTGACCTTATGACTTTACAGTTGCTCGTGTGCAAAATACTGCTAAACCAGGCTGAAAGGAATGAAACAAATTTATTTACAGAGATACAAGGAGGTAAGTATGTCCTTGAGAAATCTTTTAATAAAAAGGTATAAGGGTACTTGTATAGATTGCTTGGGAAATGGGGAAAAAAATTCTCTAAAGGTTCCTACCAAAAACATGAAGGTTATGGAAGAATCTTCTGATTTCCTTTGCAGAAAAATGTATTTGACGATAATAAAGTTTCCTAATAAGCTACAGTATACATAAGACTAGAAGACTTAAAATGAGTATGTTAATAAATATTTTCCATAATGGTTTTATAGGGCTTTTATGTTCAGAGGAGTGTCTATTTCTATTTTTGAATGAGGAAATAAAAATCTAATAAAAAGTTAATTTGCCCCATATAATAATGACATGGATATGAACAATAGTTTGGTGACGGCCAAAGAAGGGGGAGGTGGGTGGAGGTGGGCAAAGTTGGGTATAAAGGAGGACACCTGCATTAATGTCAACATTAAAAAATTAAAAGAAAAGACTGATGTGGATATTTCACATTCAAGTGTCATCTACAACATCAATATTCTAAGTTCCCTAATATTTTCTACCTTTGCAATGAGTGTTCTTTCCAAGACAGTATTTCAAGTGTAGATTATATATTCTTTCCATGACTTGAAAAAAAAGTGCAAGCCAAAAGAGCAAAAGTAACAGGATAATAAGGTAATTAGCTGTTAAACTACTTTTCCACAGTTACTCAGTAGTACATATGAGCAACAATTTTTATTATTCCAACAAGTACTCTAACTGGCTATGGTTCAGCTGTATACCTGGCTAAACCAATTATTTTCACACTTTGCTTTTATAAAGAATACTGTATTATAAATACGATCATAAACACCAATTCCTTCTTTTCTCCATTGCCATTTAGATTCAGAGCTATGTAGACTAAGCCAGCTCCACAATTAAGGAACAAAAGCAATGTAATTATAATCTCATTAGTATTTAACCATGGCTTTGCACACTGGCATAGAATATTTCATATTTATAAGATCTTGGATAAAGTACTTTCTCGAGATTTTGGTCCCCTCATCTATAAATGAGACTGGATTAGACAATCTCTTCTACTTTCCAAAACTGTCTAAATTTCTCTGTACATTAAATTTGTCTATACTATACATTTTATTGAAATTAGTTCACTCTTACCAATTTCTAAAAAAAAGTTCTCATTATTCAGATACATATTTTCATTTTGATTTACTTAGTTCTAACAAAATATCTCAATGATCTGTAAATGAAAGTATTCAAGTCTGTCAGTATCCATAGCAGGAAAAAAATTAAAGAATTTATATGTTACATTTCTATTTCTAATCAAGTCCAAAGAATAAATGTATTTTTAAAAATCTCATGCCTTAACTACAAGTACTTATGGTATAACAAAGAGTTGACAAATTTTATGTACAGAAACACTGTATAAAATTCAATGATAGCTTTGGCTGTTGCGGCTCAATGGTTAGAGTGTGGGCCTATGCAACGAAGAGTCACAGGTTCGATTCCTGGGTAAGGGCACATACTTCGGTTGCAGGTTTGATTCCTGGCCCTAGTCTGGGCATGTGTGGGAGGCAACCAATTGATGTGTCTCTCTCATATCAATGTTTCTCTCTCTCTGTCTCTCTCTTGCCTTCCCTCAATCCCTCCCTCCCTTCCACTCTTTCTAAAAATCAATGGAAAAAATTTACTCAAGTGACGATTAACAAAAAATCCTCAGTGATGTATTCCACAGGTATTAGTTATTAGTAACTACTAATAATCAACAGAAAGATAAGATTCATTAATACATATAAATAAACTAAATGGGATTGACATATATAGATGACAACTAAAAGCTTTGCTAATTGGAACTACCTTTCCAATAGGGAATATAGAGAACATACAAATTATAGTTCTCAAAGTTGTATCAAGATGAATAATTATTTGATAATATAAGGATAACTGTAAATTTTACATGAAAACTTTGTTAAATAAATGAATTCCCCACTACAGAAGAGTACCTGACACATAGTAGATACTCAATAAATGTACGTTGAATAAACTAATGAGTAAGGATTGAGTTTCACTTTAAAAAACAAGGCACAAATGTTTCATCACAAATGTTTCAAATGAGACCAGGAAAACTTAATTTAAACCAAATAAAAACATAAAGCACAGCTTTTGTCAATGAACAATGTCAAATGTTCTACTTGTCTCAATCTACAATCAATTATATTCTGCCATTACTGTCTTTAGATAGGAATGAAACTGAAATTATGCAGTCTCAAGACTCTAAGATATAGAAATGTACATGAGAAAACATGTTCCTTTATTTTCTCCTTCATTCATGAACAGATATTTCTTGAACACTTATCGAAGCAGATGTTTATTCCTTTCCTTTTCACAGATCCAGTGGAATGAATAAGTCAAGATGGTATAAAAGAAAAGTTTTTGCATGTCTATTGTCATAACTCATTGTTCACTTAATTCCTACTGTTTCACACTCAATGTATACTTAACCATATCCAGCTCAGCTTTATATATGTCTTCTAAAAATAAAACAATTTCTATCATTTTCATGATGATACATTAAACTGTACCTTAATTTCTTTCTTTTCCATTGACTTATGGATGCGTTCTCCCAGTGGTTTCACCAATGAATTCTTCACTTGTATGGGAGACCTACATTCAAATAAAGCAAAAATTTATAGACCTAAACAGCACTTTTAAAGCTAGTTTTTACCCCTTCCCTATCCAAAAGCAGTTACATAATAAAAGACTACTGAATCTCGTTGTTTATAATACTATATAAGAATATCCCTATTCTAACAGTTTTAAATATTAATAATTTGATTAATTAATTTAGCCACTAGATATTTGACCTTCTACTATATGTAAGGTGTTGTATAACATATTGTGAAAAATAGAAAGTTCATTCATTCATTGGCCCTGAATTCAGCCATCATGAAGTCAAAGAAAGAAAAATAACACCCGGCCAGTGTGGCTCAGTGGTTGAGCATTGACCCAATGCACCAAGAGGTCACTAGTTCAATTCCAGGTCAGGGCACATGCCCAAGCTGTGGGCCCAATCCCCAGTGGGGGACATACAGGAGGAGGCCGATCAATGTTCTCTCTCATCAATGTTTCTCTCTCTCTCTCTCCCCCTCTCCTTTCCTCTCTCTCTAAAATCAATAAAGAAAAAAAATTAAAAAGAATAATAAGACATCCACCTAACTAAAATTCAAAATAAAAATGGATAAGTGCCATAGCAGTGGGATTCAAAAGAGAAAAGTATAGCTTATAACCAGAAGGGTTAGAGAAGGCACAGCGGGAAGCAGACACTGGAGCTTCAGAGCCAGACAATCCTGGATTCCCCGAGAATTCATTTTTGGCTCCACAGAGCCAGAGTTATAAACCCCTCGACTCAAAAGGTCATTATATAAGAATAAAGGATTGTCTATTCTAAGAAAATATGGTTTATCACCTTATATTGACTTATATTCATACACCACAATGTCCTTAATTTTATCATTTCTTTTTTTTTAATCCTCACCGAGGACATTTTTTCCATTTTTTTGTTCAGGTAGAGTGGGAGGGAGAGAGAGGGAGAGAGAGAGAAACATCAATGTGAAAGGGACACATCGAGTGGCTGTCACCCACACGACCAACCAGGGCCAGGGACAAACTGCAACCGAGGTACATGCCCTTAGCAGGAACCGAACCCGGGTCTCTTGGGGCCCCAGGCCGATGTTCTAACTGCTGAGCCAAATCGGCCAGGGCAATTTTATCATTTCAAGGGAGAACATTAAAAATTTACTTTATCATGGATGGGTACCTGTCTGCACAATGACAATGGGAGGTACCAAGGTAACTGTAAACAATTAAAATGTGTTTGGCCACATAACTGAAACAGAAAAATACCTCTGTAAAATAGATGTGGGGATTAATTTTGTTTAAAAATATTCTAATGACACAAAAAACTTTATCTAAGAAAATGGTAGAATGAGAGAAAATATATATCATTTATATTTCTACCTAAAAAACAAACCTTGTTAAAGAGAAGGTTAAAAGGAGAAGAAGAAGAAAAAGATTCATTTTTCTTTATACTCATTTCTAGGATTGTAACACAAGGTACAAATAAATCATTCATAAAATAAATTTCCAGTGTTGGGAAAATATGTGGGTATTTTAAAGACAGAATGCAAAAGAATTATATTATATCTAGATATAAAAGAATAATCATGGGAATCTGGTGAAGAAGACAAAAGTTAAAGGAATTACAAGACAAAACTGAATTAGAGATCGTTAATGTTTCTCTTTAAACAGAAAAGAGACTGCATGAAGCACTCATGCATGGATGTATATGAACAATCTTAGACTAAAATTAGATTTCTAAAAAGTAGATCAAGCAGAAAATAGAACAGGTCAAACAATAAGATGACTTTGTAAAATTTCTCCACAATGTACAAAATACAATTTTAAATGGTTGTTCTACCATTTTTAATGTTTGTATAAATGAATGCTCATTAATTAAAAATATCATCAACCTACTCAATTTTGACCTAACTATTGTTAAAACTGGACAGCATCAATGTCTTGCACGAAATACCGACACTAACTTAGCATTTTTCTTCACGATGTGAGGTAGAACCGGTAAATGTCAGTTCCAAAGGACAATGGTATTGTGCTCACTCCTTTTCTCAGGCAGAATAGCACAGTCCTGGGAGCAGAGACCTCGGGCTTCAAGAAAGACACTTTTGCTACTTACTAACTTAGCTGTCTTAGGCAAGTTAATATCTCAATACCTCTCTCAAGCCTCTAATTCTTCACTTATAAAGTGAAGATGTTATTAAAAGAGGTTGCTATGAGGGTTGAGAAAATATAAATGAAAACATTTGGCAACGTTCTTGACACACATAGCAAAGCAAATTATTTCCAAAGCAAAAACAAAAAAACAAGAACTAAAATAAAAAAAACACCTGTCATACTTACAAAATACTACCTTTTTATATATAACTGCAAGTGTTCAATTTCCTTTTAACTAACTTTGGTTTTCTTTCTTCATACTTTTCTACAGTCTCCAAGTTTCCTACCATAGCACGGTATTTGTTTTATAATTAATGAGGTGCTTTTTCAAAAACTCCTTTTATACACTAGAGTTAACATTCACATACAAATAAGTTCCACACTACTTACCTGAAAAGTGTAAGAATAGAAGTTCCATTATGAATAATGGTGTTTTCATCGTCATATAAAAGCTCTGCTTTGTTTTTGGTAGGAGCACTGGCTGCTTCTTCATCCAAAAGAGCTAGTAAAATTTTCACAGTATCTCTGCCACAGTATGCAGTACCATGGTTTATGGCATTAGATTTTGGCTGGAGCAAACATAATTGTGAGTAAATGTTACAATCACCCAGCTGGGTCAATCACCACTCTTTTCCATTTCATGTGCCACTGTTCTCCTTCCCCCTCTGTTGTAAATGAAACATTGGCCATGCTTTCAGGCATATGAATAGTTCTCCCTCAAGCCACGCTAAAATCAATCTTATCAACTTCTAGAAGCACAAAAGAATACAAAAATATAGTATCTAAAATAGTATCATCAAAGAGGAAGACATTAGGTTCTGGTCAAAAGAACATTAGGCTTTAAGTCAGAATATTTAGCTACTCCCTAGCTATGTGGCCTCAGCCTCATGACTTAACCTCTCCGAGTATTTTTTCTCCCTTATACCCAAGAGAGATGAGGTTCTGGTGATCTAAACACCAACCCCACAGATGGCTGTAAGGATCTACTCAAATGCAAAACTGAAAAACTAGTTGATGTTTATTCATTCAGCAATCATTGATAAGTACATACTGAGTCCCAAGCACTGTGTTTGAAGCTAAGACTACCAAGGTAAAAACCACTGCCACAAGGAACCCAGTCTCCTTGATAAAATAAGTAAACTTATTTGCATTACACAGTGTTAGTGCTATTTCTAACATAATGGATACATAGTGCAATAAGAGCACACAAAAGGTAGTGAGTGATTATTTACCCTGAAATCAAGGATGACTTCATGGAGGAGGAGACACAAACGGGACAGGAGAGAGAAGAGTACTTTCAGGAACCAGGTAGAAGAACAGTATAACAGAGGGAGTCATGTGAGACTAGCCTGGGAAAGCATTGTGTACCAGGCAAAGAGGTATTATTAGTTTGTTACACAGTTAAAAATCTCTTGGTTTATTAAGCAAGGAAATAAAACAATACTATTTAGATTTTAGAAAAATGATGGCAATGTGTAAAATATAATCCAGTGTAATCAGATTACTAAATCGGAAGACAGGACAACATAGTAAGAGACTCTAGTAGTCCAGCTTAGAGCTGAGGAAAAGAATAGCAGTGGAGATACAGAAGAACCAGATTAAAAGAGGAGAGCTGGAAAAACTTAGTGACCAGATAGAAGAAGAATAAAAAATATATGATAATAAAATATTATATATAGATACACGGAAGCACAGACTCTAAAGGCATTACAGCCTGATCTGGATACCAACTTACTAGTTATGTGTGCTGTTTAAGTCTGGGAAAATTGCATAACCTCAATGTGCATCAGTTAAATCAATGGTAAAACAGGTAAATATAGACCTAGCTTGTTTGGTTCAGCGGTTAGAGCGTCGGCCCGCGGACCAGAGAGTCCCAGGTTCGGTTCCTACTAAGGGCAAGTACCTTGGTTGCAGTTTGTCCCAGGCCCCAGTTGGGGTCGTGCAGGTGGCAACTACTTGATGTATCTCTCTCACATTGATGTTTCTCTCTCTCTCTTCCACCCTCTGTCCCTCCTGCTCTATCTGAAGATGAATGCATGAGGATAAAAAACAAAACACAAAAAACGGGTAATTACAGTGCCTTACCAATAGGGGTGCCAGACATTGTGCCTAGATATCCAGGTTGCCCTTTCTGGGACATTCCTCAGCTTTCACCAACAAGGTCTTCACCTTTCTCTACTTGGCTGTTTCAAGCTCAGGCCACCAGTGAACTATAACGTATACCTACACTTGCATTTTAACCCATGAACTATCACAATCCAGTGCTTAATATATGTATTTTTCATTAGCACCAGATAAATCCATATTGTTTAATACTAACTTCACTGAGAATTATTGATTTATATTTTTCAATGATTTCTGATTTGGTTAAAAACAAACAATTAAGTACTAGGTTATCTGCATTTGTATTTCTTGTGACTGCAAATGAGAAAGACTGATGCTCTTAATTATCTGAGTTGTGACAATTCCTGAATTATACTGAGCGTAATAACCTGGTTGTCATTTGAGCCAAGCTAGTCACAGGAACTGTTAACACACAGGGGATATATGGGGAACAACCCAGCATCTCTCCCATCAAATTAATCTAAAAACATGCATTGTTATTTTTAAAAAATTTTAAAAATAGTCCCCAAGCGGGCGGGGGGTGGGGGGGCATCGGGAGGAGAATGACAATGGGGGAAAAAGGAGAAACACCTCTAACAAAAATAAATTAATAAATACTCCCCAAGGGATGTGAATAAATAAGTAATAAAAAATAAGCAAAAATCTTTCTTCACACATTGGCTATCGCAATCACACCTAATGAAAAGGGGCTTTTGTTACTTGAATAATTAAACTGTAACAAATATATTTTAACACATACTCCAAAATTGTGTTTTAGAGTTAAAAACATGGTAGTTAATTGTTCCTACAATACTATAGTTATTCAAAAGTCTATTTAAAAAAGAGAGAGAAAGAGGTGAATGTTCTAGGAGTATACAGTTAAAATATTTAAGTACGGGAGAAATTCCTAATGTTCACAGCATGCTGCCACGGAGATAGAAAATAAGAAATCACAGAGATAAAAAGAAAATTGTACAAAAGAAAAATAAACTACTGAATAGAAACCATTTCTGTTGCTGTTCTATAGAGTTCCTAGCACTGAGGTCAGAAGCACAGAAACCAAGTTCTTATTTTATATCTGAGTAAATGGGAAAATAATTATTTTCTAGAATAATTATTTAAAGATATGAAAGCACACCTTAGTATCCATCAAGAATTATAAATAGCTAGTGCTCCAAGGGATATTGAAGATTATCCAATGCCCTACTTTTTAACAAATACAAATAATTTGATCCACAGATGTTATGATTTATCCAAGACAAAGATAATCCTACATAATCCTATTGAGAAACTTAAATTTTCAACAATATAGCACAGGAAACACACTCTTCTGACTTAAGTATCAATAGCAAACCATTTCTACAACAAATAGAAGAGAAAAATTTTATATAGAGGGATAATAAAATGTAAAAAACTCATTACCCGTGCAGGACTGATGTCAGTGGTGCTAACAGCTACATCGCCTTGTTGAGAACTGCTAATATTTTTAATCCTCAAATTCAAATCCTGAGCAACTTCCTCTACTGCTTTATTAAAAGGATCCCTGCTGTTCTGGCCTTTAATCAGCTGCATCTTTATCGCTGAGAGTATCCGACCCCCTGCAATACTGAAAATAGAAATAAGATGGCCTTTATAATAGTATTAGAAATGACAATATGCTCCTAAGCTTGAAAATATAATTCTCACAGTTAATCAACACTTTTCAAAGAATGTGGCTTTGATCTTGAAAATCAAACAGTAGTACATGTAAGAAAAGGATGAGAACCATTAGAAGCAAAATTTTAAAGTTTTTTTTTCTAAAAACAAATCATTTCAACAAGGTAAGTTACTTCTTCCTTGATTTGAAAGCTAAAGGGAAATACTTTAGCTGTATATGATGACAGATTCAGATGCAGTTATATACACACAATATACTTAAAATATGTACCTTTAGATGCAAGTAAGGTAGCAAGAGATACCTCTCAATGAATACCTACATCACTTTAAACTTAAAACCAACTCAGTAGGTATTACCTTTAAATCACAAAGAAATCTGGGTCTCAAAATGGTTAAATAGCTTATCCAAGAATATACACTGTTCTGAGCTAGGAAGGAGGTGGCAAGGAAGGAGACTGACCTGGAACACACTATTGCACTACAACATGAGAAGTGTCATTACATGAAAGAGGAAAGCAAGCTAGTTAATACTGATCTGAAGCAAACCAGAGACTGGACCAATTACAGTCACCAGACAAGTGTTTTTAAAAACCTGAACTCAATTGTTTCTTTATACAAAGGCTGAACCTGAATAAATGTGAGCTGCAGTTCCTGCTCTAGAAAGCAGACCTAAAACCAAGGTGAGAAATGTACAGAGGAAAGGGTTTGGGTCCATTACATAAAGAAATCAGAGGTGTCCGACTGTAGAAAGGGGCTTTTATCGAGGTCAGATCTCCAGCCCGGCAGAAAGGCTGCACTGTGCCGAATGAGAAGGGATGTGATCTGTGTGGAGTCAGACAACCTGAGCACAACTCGCAGCTCCCCCACCTTCTACTTTGGGTACGCTATTTCAACTCTCTGCAAATTTTATAGTGCCAGAAGGGAAATTATGAATTAAAGTTTTCATCCTCACTGCCTCATTGCCATACTTTATGTTTTAGGGAACAAGCCAAGTTCCCTAACGATGACTGGAAATATGATTGTTCACATTTAAATAGCTGGTCAAAATAGAGAAGGAAAGTTAGAAAAAAATTAGAGACTTAATGTGCAATAGTACATTAGATCAGTGTCTCCCAAATTTGCCTGATCATCAGAATCGTACTAAGCATTAGTTTAAAAGATCAGCTCCAGACCCCACCCTATTGAATCACAATCTCCAGAGAAGGACATTAAATAGTTGCATTGTTTTAAAAGTACCATAGGTGATTCTTACGACTAGACAAGCTTGGGAAACATTTCAGGAAAAAATTAGCTCAAGAAAGGAACTATATATATATATTTCAATCCTCTCCCAAGGATATATTTATTGATTTTAGAGAAACAAGGAAGGGGGGAGAAAAAGAAAAACATCCATGTGAGAAGGAAACATCAACAGGTTGCCTCCCATATGCGTCCCCACTAGACCCACAACCTAGATATGTGCCCTGACCGGAACTCGAACCCACACCTTTTGGCGTACTCTAACCAACTAAGCCACCTGGCTAGGGCAAAAGGAAATGTATTTTACAATCTTCAGTTACTCTTGGCTTACAGAAGGGATGATTGGTGGGTTTGAGTAAACTGACCATCACATATAACAATTTCAAGTTTTTAATACTTAAGACAAAAAATATATATTTTACTAAGGTCCATATTATTACTATTTGCAATACAAAAGTACTTAGGGGGGATCCACTGGATTCTAGATACCCTGAGCTTGGCAGGAACAGGAGGCAATCTCCAAGTACCACCCAACGTCTCTCCCAAAGAGGAACAAGCAAGAGCATGAGTGGAAAGCCGGAAGCCGTGAGTGGGAACCACGCAGTGTCAGTGGGGTTTTCCTGAGGACAGAACTCTCTAATAGTACCATGATCAGGGCGCAAAGCGTGGGTTGACTCTCAAATTAGTCTGAAACTTCCAAGGGGGAAGAAGCTAGTATGGCTTTTATGAGATTTATTCTAGGTACTTTCTATTTTTTATGCTACTTTTGAACATTTTCTATGTGGTGATGGTGTAGACATACAATTGCTTTTCGTTTTCTGTCCTCGTGACCAGCATTGTTGATAAACTCTATTAATTTTAATATTTTTTCTTCTGATTCTTGGAATTTTCTACATATATCATCATAACATCAATTAGAGTTACACTTCCTTTTTAGTGCTTTTATCTCCTATTTCTTTTTCTTGCCCTACTACAGTTAGTTGGACATCTAATACTTACTATGTTGAAAAGAAATGATGAGAAAGAATTTTTGTCTTGTCCTAAATCTTAAATAGAATGCTAAAATATTTTAACATTAAGTATGTTTTCACAGAAACCCTTTATCAGGTTAAAACCATTATTCTTAATTCATGTTACACTGAGGGGGTAGCTATGTAAGATTGATATGTCCTAACAGACTCCTCACCTTGGGAAGTCGTTGGGCTTTGTCCCCTCAGACTTTGGTGGCTATAAGAACACTCTTCAAATCACCAAATTCAGCAAATACTCTTAGAATAAAAGCTGGCTTGCCTTCTTGACTTCCTTTTCTAACTTTCTTCCTTCCCCTAGTTTTTGTCTGTATTTTCAATGCATTTGCCTGTTCATAAATGTATTTAAGAAGCATTTAAAAATGTTATCCAGCATTATTAATTATTGTCAAGGGGGGGGTCACTCAGCTGACTTCGTCTGTCATACATCGATAATCAGCAGACTTGAAGCATTTTTTTATGTATACAGGCATTTTCTTTTTCAGTTAGTTTTTCCCTAATTTTCCATTAAATACACAGAAAGTAATTGGATCAAACATAGCCAAAATGAAAGCACAACATTATGTATTCTTTCTGGGAATTAATCTCTAGTGGAAAAGTTTTGGAAAATACTCAAAAGGATAATAAAATATGAAAGAGGGTCTTAGTTAATTATAAGAACAACAACAACAATAAAAGCAAACAAACAAAAGCTTTAAATGATATTAGTTAAAGTCACCTTGGCCTCCCTTTTCTCATTTTTTCCACAGGAACAAATACACTAAATTTAAAAAATAGTGTAATTCACTGATTGTATTTTATTTAGGGAAAAAAATGTGTAAAACTAGTATTTAAGGTACTTGTCAAGGTCAATATTTTGACCCCTGATAAAATACCCCAAGCACCAGTGTCATGACTAGTCTGTTGCTACACACGCACTATGTACTAGTCAACCATTAACTTTCAAATATCTGCTCAGCACACAGTGACTTAATTCAAACACTTACTTCTAAAGCCTAGAAACTCCTGGATACAAAATAAATAAAATCTTTCTCTTTAAAAGGTCACAACTGATCATATGATACAATGAGATACTAAAGGTATAGAGAGAGCTTGAGTAGGAAGGGACAGAGAACAAGGAGGTATTCAGGAAGGCTTCCCAGAAGATACATTATGACTAGGCTGGATAAACATCAATAGGAGAATTTAGGTGAGAAAGGTAAACTGCAGCTCCTGGCTATTAATGCACCACATCAGAGCCCTATAGCAGAAAGAGAAAAATGAAGCTAGTGAGGAAAAACACAAAATCCCCAAGCTTGTATCAGAACAGTGACTATAAGAGAACAATAAGCAGTATAAAGACAAATGATTGGTAATACTTTAATGTAATTACAAATTCTCTTTACCATCAAGAGCGACTGGCTTTGTCTCAACATCTTCATGAATTTGATAGCTATTTGCTAAAATAAATTATATCTCTAGCCCTAGCCGGATAGCTCAGTTGGTTGAAGTATCGTCCCATACACCAAAAGGTTTCGGGTTTGATTCCCAGTCAGGACACATACCTAGGTTGCAGGCTCAACCCCTAGTCGGGGAATGTACAGGAGGCAATGGATCAATGTTTCTCTCTCGCATCAATGTTTCTCTCTCCCTCTTCTCTTTCCCAAATCAATAAAAACATATCTTCAGGTGAGGATTTTTAAAAATTGTATCTTTAATAATTAAATATAATTAAAGGTTCTACATAAAATGCATCAAAATGTTCCTGAAATATATTTAAATGAGATTCTAGACTGGATAATTTCAACCAGATTTAATATTCTATAAATACATACTATTTAGTCCCACATATAAAATTTAGGTGTGCCATTAAAGAGTCAGGTAATAACTTGAAATATAGAATGTTAAGCATTTGAACAACTACTTTAAACATGAAATCAGAAACCTTTTTTTCAGGTGAAAGTATACAGTAAGCATTTTGTGGTGGCACCTACTGGCAAAGGGTAGAAATGCAGCCAAAGTATAGCTAAGATGGTCAAATGAAAATCTGGCACTGGGGAGGTGAGTGTGAGAATGGATTCTTGGACTTCCCTGTCAGTCTATTCCCCATCCTTCTTTGGACTCAAAGATTACTGTGGTTCCCACCCTATTATAAGACAAGCAGTACAGCCCGGCCAGTGTGGCTTAGTGGATTTAGCATCATCCCGTGGACTGAGAGGTCCCAGTTCAATTCCTGATGCGGGCACATGCCCATGTTGCAGGCTCGATCTCCAGTAGGGGTGCGCAGGGGGCAGTCAATTAATGTGTCTCTCTCACATCGATGTTTCTATCTCTCTCTCTCTTCCTCTCTCTCTAAAAAAATCAATAAAAACATTTTAAAAAATAAGACAAATTGTACAAACACATCCTCGGTTACAAGAGTTAAATACATTTTTATCTCTAAGGTTTAACATTGAGACACAGAGTGATAAATAGGCAGGAGTAAGAGTGCGTAGAATTTGTACATCATACTGAGGTTTCTGGAGATTTATTCTATACCTTATTTTGAATCTTTAAAGGATTTTAATCACGGAAGTAACATTTGCTGTTTCAGAAAGTTCATTGTCAGAAGTGAGGGCAAGAGGATAGGGCAACTCAAGATTGGAGGTAGACAACAAGTCAGAAAAAAATCCAGCCAAGAAAGCGTGAAAATCTGAAAACAGGC